CTGCAGTAACCTCTTGGTCTGCCTTGCAGCTGAGGTTAAATTGAGTAGGAAGCTGCAAATATTGTCACTGAATCTAATCCATCCCCTGCCCTGTCGTTCCACACGCGTGAAACCCAACASTTAGAGTGAAACTCATCCCTATTTGAGCTTCGTATTGCCCAGAGGGGCTCCTTTTCTAGGCTCGTGGAGTGTTTGCTGTCAGTTTTGCCACAGACTCCTTTATTAAACATCTGTAGTTAAAAGGAAAGCAACTGTATTGAAAAGAAGAAGCAAAATTTAGTATTTTGGGAGGAAAAAAAATCCCACAAATTGCTGTATCAACTAATCTGGCTTGTTAAAAGCATGTTGAGCTGCTTCTTTAGTTGTTCGTTCTTTACAAAGGCAAAGAAGGTGGATCTCACAATAGCAGGAAATTTAAGCTGGCCTGTGCTACTCATAAAGCTAATTTCATTCTTTGGCTTTAAAGAAGTGACGGAAATGAAACCCATTCCAATTTTCTAATGGTTTCACAGGGAGAGAAATTCATAATCCGACAAAAGATAAATATTTGCCACTAATTGTCTGCTCTCACCTTTGCTTCTTCACTTTTATTGCCCCTGAGGTGGGTGCATCTGATTGTGTAAGGAATGACTACATTACTAATACACTAAAATTACTAAAATAACCAATACCAACCTCCTTGAGGTTCCAAACCACATTTGTTGTTTATCCAGCCGTCTTAAACTGGAGTATGGGTGATACGCAAAATAAAACTGTAACAGCAAGAGCCTGGCCAGCCACGTTTTCTCTGTAAGAGACAGAACATCTGTTTGTGCTTTCTCACAGCCCAGAGAAGAGTTACATGTCTGTCTTAGTGCACTGGGGTCTGTATTTGAGAACCCCTGGTCCACGCTGTCACTGAACGTGTTCAGAGGAAGCGGTGCTCAAGGCCTCCCCAAAGCCAGATCTCTGCCTCCCGTTGAATTCTTGTCACTGTTGCCATGAAAGGACCTGAACAGGTCAATCTGGTTACGGAAACGGCCTCAAAATTACAGGCAGTCCATCCCTTGGGTTCCTGATACTGRAGTAACTGAAGTACAGGGGTATTTTAAAAGATATTAATAATTTTGGATAGTTAGGCACAGTCTATATGAAGAGAAACCTGCTCATTAGAGTTACTAGTGGGATACGTGTCTGTCCTGAAGGAACCTCAGATTGTGGGCTTGGGAGCCACTGTGTGTGGCCCAGTCCTGGTCTTCCTGCTCACGCTGATGAGTTGAGGACCTCTGGCCTGGATGCAGAAGCTCTCCCATGCAGCACCGCCTGCCCTAGGCTTGGCTTTGCAGCTCTCCTGGCTAGCAAATAGCTTCTGCAAGGCAAGTAGCCAGCCCTGCCACATGCCTCGTTCATCTCTTGCTGTTTGTTCGGCCTTCCGAGTAACCCCGTGTCCTCATCTCTGACCTCATAGTCCAGCCCTTGCTACAAAGAACCTTTTATGACTTTCTGAAGACCCTCCTCTTCAAAAGGTTTGAAAAATGTGAAAAATAATAAAAAAAAACCTTTAAATTTCAAAAAGTTCTTCATTTAAAATAAGCAGTTGTTTCAGGTCATTGTCTGGGTTCTAATATATGCTCCTAAAGCTGCCTTTTTGCTTTGGGGCATCTTCATCTTTGTTGGCTAACTGACAATGTCTTTTTTTCACTCCTTTTGCCTTGGTATCCCGTTCTGCTGGAGGTAAGATAGGCGCTGCAGACAAAGGGTCACAGATCTGGCTTCCACACCCTGCTGAGCTATTTAGCTGAAAAGCTGGCCACGGTGCAGAACCATTTTGGGTCAAATCCATGGGTGTGGAGACAACAGTTACGAATACCAGAGTCTTTCCACGACAGAACTGTAATCTTGATTTATGCGAGCCAAATCTCTTTGTAGATACTCATGGCTGCAATTTTGAGTTGCCCAGGACTGGGGACTGGACCATTCCCTTAACCAAAGGCTGAGAAATTTTGCAGGAAATGCCCTGTCATGGTACCTGGCTGCAAATTCTGTACCTAACAGACATAAAAACRGGAAGAATATAACAACTCCACAGAAGAGCAGCTGCTATTTGCTTGGAGCCCTCCGTTAAACAAGGAGGACAACAAACAGGTAGGAATTTAACCAAGGCTCCTTCAAGTTAAGAAAAATCTGTAGATATCTTAAGTCTTGCAATAGGTAAGACCAAGGCATTGTCCACTCTAGTGATGAAATTCTGCAACAGAGCTGGAGTAACACTAATATAACAGGCTGCAGGAACAATCCCATTTCCTCCTGGCCATTGCACAGAAGAAATGAGCATCCCTGCTTGTAGCAGTCAGCCCTTTCAACACAAAGATGTGTCTGTCTTCCYGTGCTGTTCAAAGGCTACACATGAGTCTTTCCTTCCTGCACTCTGCTACTGTTTCCTCTCCTCTCCTTACCAGGAGCCTTGTCTTCCTTCTTGAAGATTTCCATTCAGTGGGTAGTTTTCTTGAAAAAATGCTAAAAATATTAAAAATGTCTATGGAGTCCCTAATTGCTTTGCTTGGGCCAACAGATTAGTGGTGATAAATATACCACTTTGAAAGCACAGAATCTGGAATTTGCTTCAAACTAGTTATCTTTCCCTTTGCATCCTTGCCAAGCTTTGCTGTGGCCATAAAAGGATCTCATATGGCCTTTGGTAACATAGTGAGTCTGGATTGTTTTTATAAATTAGATATTTTCCCATAGGTATATGGGCAGGCTAGCACCTAAAACAATGGTTATTAATAACAATTTTTCATGATTAGTAATAATAGTTTTAGAAAAAAAAATGTATTAATAAGCACAAATGATACATGCTGGGTCACTGCTATGCCCTCCTCTTTGCTCTTGCTTTTGTTCCCTCACAGTGAATGCAAGTGGGTATGAGAAAGGGAAGCTATGTTGTTCCATCAGGAATAACATCCATCACACATGAGAGGAACAGTATTTGCCTTAGCGCATGGTTGCCTTGAGAAGCTTGCAAAAATTCTGATAAATCAGAAGATTTCAATAAAACATCTGCTTATATTTCTTGCCTAAACCAAGGTTTAGGTTCTTCTTTGCTGGTTTTGACTCCATGTGTCTGCTGTTCCATATCAACATGCCTTGGAAACACTTTGTTTCCCTTTTCAGTTACGAGGCATTATTAATAATGAGCTGCCATGAGAGAGGTTAAGATAAGAAAGAAAGGCAGAAGTGGAATAAGCACATGCTCCTACTATCTGGGAGAAAGAAGGAATGAATTTGGTGGAAGGCACAGTGAGAAAAACACTGCCAGGAACAAGCAGGTCCCACATCATCTTAAGAAGTCACATCAGTCTCACATCATCTTAAGAAGCACAGCATCTTAAGAAACCATTTTTTAATGGATTTATTGTCATAGATGACTGTCTTTTAAATAAATTACAGAAAGCTGTGGTGTGAATTCACCTGCATTAAACATATAAATGGAGAATGAATTCATCAACTAAGGAAAAAGCCTTTGGCTGGAGTTTTTTTAATCTCTTCTTCCAAACCAGACATTGTCATTCAGCCCTGGGAGCAAAAGAACTCATTTCCCACATGGATTCTCTGATGCCTCAACAGAGTTGAGGTCATACTACTCGTTTTCTGTTCTCYCCTACCCAGCTGCTTGTCTAGGAACTGCAGGAATGTCCTATCTTTCCATAACTGCCCCCTTTAGCAGAGAGTGGCCAAAATGCAAAAGATGTTAGCACACATGTACACACACTCATACACATATGGTGTGAATAAAAACAGTCTTCCTTGCAGAAAGCCAAGCTAAAGTCTACAAAAATCACATATGAATTAGCACAATATTATCCCCAAGAGGCTGGGAGAAAAAGAAGCCACAGCTTTCATTAGAKAGCCCTATTCTTTATTATGCACTTCATCAGTGCCATGCAATAGGCCTCAGAAACTCTCTGCAAGTCTGGACAGCAAACTAAAAGCTCGAATTGTATTTTGTTTTTATTATACAACAAATTACCTCATAAACTTACTATTCTTTTCTGCACTTACRGAGTATGGAGGGAAGGTTGGTGAATGGACTGAAACAATGCTTTTTTTTGGTAGGAAAATCCTGTCATGTTGAATTCACTGGACAGGAATTTGTGTAGGCTTGTGCTGGAAAAAAWAGCAAAAAGATCTTGAAACACTCCTTTATTATAGAGAAGATTGTATACACAGATGACATGTATTTACAACCATATTTTCTCAAACAGATGACTATTTAAAATCCCTCACAAATCAATCAAGAATGAAAKAAAATGAAGCTCAGAAGCCAAGAAAACCACCCAGACCCCCAAATTCAATTTAACTCTGAAAGCTAATCGTAATGAGGCAACAGCACATGGAGTTACCCTGAAAAGAGCAGTATGACTGTGGTAGAGAGCAATGGATAGACTTGGAGGTTGGTTCAGTATTGTCAAGTTTGATCTCAGAGTGAGTGAAGTATGGGCTGAAATGTCAGCAGATAGATGGGGACCTGCCTTTTCCCAGGTATATGGAAGAGACAATCAGAAACAGAGCCTTGCCTTTCCYCCCATGGCCTATGAAAGGGCAGATCTCAGTGGCGACCTCTGTGGAAAGAACCTTTTGGTTCTGTATTTCTCTGGAAAAACTCTTTTCCAGAAAAAGACAAGAATACTTCTTCTCAGGACTGCACAATGGAGTCAGTGCACASTGGGCAAGAACATGTGTCCTCTTTAGGGAACCTGATACCTTCTGCAGGGACCATTTCTTCTGGTGTCTCTCCAGACTGTGTTTCCCTCTGTACTGCCCTCTGCCTGGCACTGTGTGCAATGGTGTGAGTCAATGTGTCTAATCACCCCAAAATGCACAGGAGGCACCACGGAGGGGAGTGATGAGAGGTAGAAACTCACTCATTATATTTCCCTTTGCAATTAAAAGTAGAACTTTCATCAACAAGAAAAAGTTGCATGTGCAGGAGGCACTTCTCAGGGGAAGAAAAAAATACCTCACACAAACTTTCAGGGATAGATGAGTCTCAGGAGAAGGATTCTCAGCACAACCCCTTCAGTCACAGAAAAGCATCTAAATCCCCATGTTGATGTATATGAGAAACACACAAAAGATACTTGCTAATGCTTGAGGAAGTGACATGCATAAGTTTCCCATAGGTTGGGAAAATATACCTTAGTATCTGCATAATTTACTTCACACTCAAAAGAACATTGCAATATTTACAGGCACATTCCTACAGAAAAARAACATTTGCATATTGAGTGCCAAAGACACAGCTTTGTCACCAAGCCATGTGACTTTAAAAGCACAGGTTTTGTGACCTCCAAAAGCATAGGTTGTGTGACTATTTGAGAGGCTGCTGGAGAGAAAAATGTGGCATAAACATCAAAAAGAAAATTACAACAATTGTAAATGGGCAATACTTTTTTTTTTTGGTCATTGGAATGGTTGCAGCCTGGGTCAAAGTGAGTCTACAGAGTCACAGATCCTGGCTTACTACAGTACATCATGGAGCACTTTGTCTACTCTGGCTTCCCAYACCTATTTTTCCCAATGAATTGTTTCCCATTAGCCATTAGGTTGATGAGAATAGTACCTGAGCCTCACTGTTCCCCTGGCAGTCATCATCTTTCCTAGCACAATAACTTTTGTGGAACAGGAATGAAGCAGAATGTCACCTCTTTGGACTTAGTTTGCATTCTCAAGTGGAAAGAGGGCATTGGCAACAAAACACTTTTTAATGCCCTGGAAAAAAAGGAAAGTTACACTGAACCTGATGGAGACTGCAGATTTCTGAGTTCTCTAGCACTGCATGTCAGAGAGGGTGGAAAAACCTATTCCGTGACTACTGTAACCTCATCACTACCCAATGGTTCTGAAATTAGTTCAGTACACTACTGTGGTTGCAGCAAATTATTAAAACTATACATTTTTAAACATACAGTATAGGTTTCAATATGTCAGCAAAACAGCAATATATAACCCACAGGGGTTATATCCAGGAAGTGAAATTATCACACTATTGCTCCAACGTCTGGGAAGTCAAGCTATCCTCCCTGGGTCCACAACACGTTCTCACTTATGCTGACACATAAGGTGGTGGTGGATCTTTAGCAGCTCCATTCACAGGATCATCATATGGTGGCAACAGCACCTGCACGAAAGGAAAGAAGATTTTATTTTTCTAAAAAAATACAGCTGCTAAAATTGTCAGAGAAAATCTTAAGGCCTTGTCCTAAAATATAGCAGCAGTGAACAAATGAGTACATGGAAGATGTCTCAAAAGTAAACATTTGGAAAACAAAACCCTTCCTCCGTTTCAGTTCATGTATGTGCTTTAATTACACAGAAAAAAAAATGATTTCTTCTCATTTCTTTCTTATTGCAGTGACAGGTGGATCACTGATTCAGGTACCACAGATCACTGACTGCTGGTACCTGAATCTGCACGATCTGGCAGTGAAGCTGCTGCTTATTCTGCAGCCGTTATCTTCAAGCGCTCTTAAACCACATCTCCTGGAGAAGAGCTCAAATTGAGAAGCCAGAGGGAGAGCCAGAGCCTCTCTGGCTGGAATCATGCTGGAGCAACTAGTAATTATTTCGAGTGCAGAAGAGGGCAAAAATTACCCAATGTCTAATTAAATCTCCAATTTAGTTCTTACAGGACATTCAGCTGTGAGAAGGAAGGTCTAGATTCCTGTAAGTGCCCTTCAGTGAAAATTTGAGTATCTGATAGAATTTAGTACAGGTTTAATCAGACATCAGCCCTTTCCATAGCTGTGAGGCAAGACCACTTCTTGGGACATGGGAGATGCAATTTTAGGCCACCCTGGGCAGAGGACACATTTGAACCAAGCTTTCTAATCCTTTAAACAGCAAGTAATGGCACCACCACAGTCATTACATAGCTTGGGTGTGAAAAGGCACGTGGTCTGTGAATCCCACAGAGACTGAGTTCTTGGTCACTAAAAGGTGACACATAAGGTGGACACCTAAACACACCTTGGGAAAATCCCAATCCCATTACAGTCAATGGACATACTACCATGAGAGGATTTCATTAGGATTCTTAYAGCTGGTAGTTTGCCTTCCGCAAAGAAACTTCCATACTCTTCCCTTTCAACCCTCAGCCACAATATTTTTTTTCTATAGATTTAAATAAACTTTGGATGAGATGCTTGAAGTACAATTCCAAGAGTGATTCATGTTAAAGGTCTGGGAGTTTACAGGCCTGCATTGATGAACATGTGTTCAAGTACATCTGTGCACATGCTTGCTGGATTACAAAACGGATACCTTGGCATCTCTAGCCTTTCGTCAAAAAAACCTTCACTATTTAGAAAAGGAAATTCTAACACATTTGCCAGAATCATCACACTTATTAATACCATATGTCTGAGCTTGTAAGTGGAATATACTGTGCATGCATCCAGGACAAAATCTAAAAAGCTTTATATTGAAAAACATTTAATATATTATATCAATGTAAAGACTGCAAACTACTTATATTGTGCTACATACCTAGTGAAATTACAATAACATATAGAACAAATAAATATTGTAAAAGTCTTAAATATATGGCACAATGTAACCTTGGTAAATCACACTGCTAAGCATATAAACTATAAATGACACTTAAATTGGGATCTTCTCCCTAGTGCCGATCACTTGTTTARTAAAATCCTTATGTAAATAAAAAGAGCGTTAGTTTCTGAACTGTATTGACACATATTTATTAGCTGATTATAAAGCACTACAATTAGTAATTAAATCTGTTCTCTTCTAAAGACAAGTCTGAAAATAAATCAAGTACCTATTATAATAATTTATCCCTCTTATTGCATGCACTCTTTTAAGGGCTAAGCTCCAAACTATGGCCTTTTCTTTTCAGATTCAAAGTCTTCAAAGCTGATAAGAAGTGACAGTGGACTTCATTCAAAAAGTTGTCCATCTCCCAAATCAATATATCTCAGATTTGCTCAGACCCTCTTTTAGATCAATGTATCYTAGACTACTGTAGTTACATCGTTACATAAATGCTATGTCAGCATATAGGGACATTTATATTGCTGAAGGGTTTACTGAGACGAATGACATTCTTAACTCTCTGTGGCATCTAACTCTCTGTGGCATCTTGCATGAAAAGAGGGCCATTAGCTAGAAGAAGAGCTTCCTAGTAAGACTCTTCCCATGCTCTTGGGAGGTCAACACTCAGCTTCATTCACATGAGCCCAAAAGAGCCTAGAAGACACCTTAAGAAGGCACTTGAGCCACTGCCTAAATCCTAAGGCATATGCATTTCTATAGAATTAGTCAATATGGGGGATGAATTGCGTAGGTCACTAAAAAGGCTCAAAAGGTTCACAAGAAAMCAACTGTGTTGAAAGGCTCAAGAGTGTTTGTAAAATGTCAGTAATGATAGGGTCACTCCATTGCTACAAAAGGTTATTTTTCTGAACAGTTTCTGAACAGTTCTGTTACTGATGAGTTTACAGACTTACTCCCAGATTACTTATTATTACTTAGAAATCCTGATCTTGCACTGCCTTGACATGAACTGGACAGTGAGCTGTAAAATAYAATTAATGCGGAATAAGTAGGTGGCAAAATTACCACCTCTTCTTAGTAGCGTTTGAGTTAGAGGAAATAGGGACAGAATATTACACAGAGGTTAAGATGAATGAAGAGAATGGACAACACTTGGAAGAAAGGACTCAAGAGTATGTGGAATGCATGGGTCCAGCCATGATGCTGAGGACCTCAGCGTAACTTAGTTCACCATCCTTATGCTGTTAGAACACTAAAAGTAAAACAGCATTTAGCTGTTCTACTTTCAGTCAATGTGCTCTTGTTACTATACTTAATTGTTTGCCAACTGTGATTCAAAAGTCATCATTAAGCTGCCATGGCAATTTGAACAGTTCATCAATCAGGCCATGATTACAAATTATTTTTGACTTACACATGACTTTACCTTAATAATTTCTCATTTTTTTCTCAGTTAAGTCTATTTTGGCCAAAGGCTAAAATATGATAATACCTGAATTACCTCAACTTTTAACTATTTAGTGTTGAGCTGTTTAATAGTTCAAAAGAAATCCCAAGGAAATGAGATCATTAAAAATATAATTACTGAATTCATACGGAATTATTAAGATGAAAATGTGGACCACAATAGTTACATCTTCTCTTGCATTAATCTTTAATTTCATCATGGTTTAACGGAAGCGGTGCCTTGGATATTGCCTTGGAAGTTCCATTGCCTTGGAACAGCTTAGCTGCTCAAGTAATTCCTTGCTCCCAACATCTTTGAAGCATTTAGCTATAAGCAGTCTCATTGTGTGTAACATACAGAAATAATCCAGAACTGACCCATGAGAAATTCTGGTCCTGATGTCATAGAAGTTACTTGGATAAYTGTGTTACATAAGCCTCTTTTTTAAAGCACATGATACAGGACAACCTTCCCTGGAAGAAATAATTACCACACGATTTTCCCAAAGGCTATGACATACTTTGTTAATATAAACATACATAGTACTTTATCTTGGTCAAAAAAATATTTTTGAGGAATAAACTTTTAAAGATGGTTTAGAAATATGCCTAAGAAGAAACATGAGCCTTTTGCTCTGTTTTTATATGAACATCCAGYAGAAAAAAATCTTTCTTCAACACATACATAGGTTATCTAGCATTGCTGCACTTTTTTCTGTCTGAACTAGATCTTAGAAATATTTAGCTTCTAAAACACAAACTTGGTTCTGCATGAGCTAAATGTAAGTATTTAATTAACTGATTACTTTTGCATTCTTAAGGTTCTCACTCCAGACCCGTTGAACTTCATAACTATCTTGCTGTGTCTTCAAAGACCTTTGGATCACATTTGTCCATTGCCATTTGCATCCTTCACTGAATGGAACTGTACAACTGCCACATGAAAGCTCTCAGTTTTAAAATAGGATTTTGGCTTATAGCTGTATGTGTAATATGTGAATCTTCATAGTAAAGTACCTTGATGATGTCTTGTTAGAAACAAACACTGTTAGATCCAGCCCTAAAATACTTCTTTTTGCTAACATTTTCTAGAACAGAAATGCACTTGATGATGCCAAAAAGCTGTAGATTAAAAGTTACAATGGTATGTGATGATAGGTGGCTGGGAGCATTCAAGATGTTTTCTCAAACTTTATTTGCCAGATGCATCAGTTCCTCAGTCTCCTTTTTATAAATGGAGTACTGCAAAAAAAATGTAGAATAAATTCGAAGRAAAATCCTAATATGCAGCGGATTATATAAAGAAATCTTAAGACAAAAACAAAATTATATCAAAATATTTAAAATTCTGATTTCTATCTTACAAAATCATATGGGCTGAGCTGTTGGCTAGTGCCTGAATTCTTCTTCCAAACATGAACAAGATATWTCTATTTCTCAAAATGAATGATTTATTCTGGTGTTGGCCTTCCAAATTCTCAGCATTTCAAAAACTGCACTTGGAAACACAGAAAGTTGAATAATTTGTGAGAAGGATAAGATCCTGTTACCTCCATAAAGCAAGAAATCATCTTCCTCCTCTCTGTAATGAGGAGGAATGTCTCCATGGCGCAGTAACTCCCCATTTTCCTGCTGAAGATTCCTCAGGGCAACAGCGAACTGCTTCATTTCAGGGGAACACAACAAACACAACTATCTATCTAAGAGCTTTTCCAAAAAAGCTACAGTCCTTTAGGCTAAAAAACTTCAGAGTCAARGACAGTTGCATAAAGGACACTGCACCAATGTACAATACTTACGCACCGTCAACTTACAGASAGCAGTTGAGTGAAATTAGGGTCATCACTATTAGGGCAATTTAATCCTGGTTCTATCTTTGATTCTTTGAATTTTGGCAAGTCATTTGACTTTGTCTTTAAAGATTTTCCATTTGTAAACCAGGCACATTATTTACAACAGCTTAAAAGTTAGAAAGGTTAAGACAGACTTAAAATTCTCTTGGATGAAGCTTGCAATGTGATTATATTTATCTGGAATACTGTGTCCAGTTCTGGTCTTCCCAGTACAAGAGGGATGTGGAGCTGCTGGAGAGAGTCCAGCGCAGGGCTACAAGGATCATCAGGGGCCTGGAACATCTGCTTTGTGAGCAAAGGCTGAGAG